AGAGAGAGAGAGAGAGAGAGAGAGAGAGAGAGAGAGAGAGAATGCACGCACGAGAGAGCGAGGTGTTTTGTGATTAGCTTATTAAGTAGTGGGATTCCATAAAGCTTTTTTTGTACATTCTTAGTTTCGGTTGAGAAACCCATGACCCTTTTCTCTCCTCATTCCACTGCTCATAGCCTTGCTTATTCCTTAAATCCTCAGAATCACCCCTGCCTGGCCTATACACCTATCTTTCTTTTCGAATGTGCTCTACTAGCCCTCATTTTATTATTTTTCTCTCTTGGGTTGTGACAAAATAGGCTTCCATATAGCTTTTCACACCATGCTCCTTTGGGTTAGTCCTCTTCTTCACACCTCAATTTCACCCACCCTCCCACCTCCCCACATAACCCCTTATGCCCTCAGTATTCCACCACACTACTTCCATTTTACCTATAATCCTCTTATCCATCTCTCTTAATGCATTCTCCCCAAAAGGCCTCTTCTCATTTTCCTAGCTTCCACTTCTGCTTCAATTTAAATACACAAAGCAAACAATTTGAAGTTAGCATCCGCAAATGAGAGAGAACATGGTCTGTGGGTCTGCATTACCATACTTAGTATAATTTATTCCAGCTTTTCCATCCTTTAACCAGCACATATCTCTTTTCTTTAGAGCTAGTATTATTCCACTGTGTATGTACACCAACCTTTTCTCATCCATTCATCTTTTGGTGGTCCTTTAGGTGGATTCCATTTCCTCCATTGTGAATAGAGTGGCAACAAACTTCTTTTTGTAGTAGAATCAGTAGATGGAGGGGTGTATTACTGCCCAAAGTGCTAAGAACGAGAGACTGAGTGCTCAGCCCTAAAAAGGACATCTGTATTAACTGACACACCACTACCAGTACTCAAGAAACATTGTGGAAGAGGAGGCAGAATGTAAGAGCAGAAACATGAGGAGGAGGGCTGGAAAAATGCTATGTTCCAGATACTATATAACTATGGCAATCACAAACTCACAGTCTTCAGTTACCTACTTGAGACTTACACAAAATTAAGCCAGTCAAACTCCTTGCAGATATTCTGTGGATGATCTCCAGGCCCCACTTCTTACTAAGGAGCTTTTGGCAATGGATAGCTGGTAGGGAAGAGAGAACTATTCTTTCTGATAAGTTTCCTATGCTCTGGTGGAGGGGCCCCATAACCACGCACATACCGTCAGAACTACCTGCATTCATTGAGTTTTCAAAAGAAAAACAAAGTACATGAATTTGTGAGGGAATCATGGGGGCTGATATTATACTTTTTAATTGTATACAGAGATGAAATTGAAACATTGAAAATTCAGGATGATCATATTTGACTACCTTACATAATTTAGCTTAAAGCCTTTCTGGTTACGTTTTCCTACTGAATTTATCTGACAGCATTAATTGGCTTATTACTATTTTTCATTTAGCACAGCTACTATATTTATAGCACAATTTGTGTTAGATTTAAGTAATTATACCTTTACCCTTTTAAAATATCATTTTTCTCCCTGGTACTCATCAGTATATTTCCAAGTGGCTGTGTCTACATAAAAGAGCTCATTCACTCTCTTCTACCCCACATCTTATTCAGTGTTTCTTCCCATCCCCCTCATTTCTGACCTCATTTGGGGGAAGTGAGTTCCAGACCTTACCTTATTTGTGTTTTACATGTGATGACTTATTTTAAGAGAGTATAAAGATGAGCATAAGAAGAAATAATTCTGAATTTAGGTTATGTTCTACTGGATCAAAATTTAGCTACCTGACCAACAGCTCTTCTCAGCAACCTAGGAAATATGACCCATTCTTAAGATGCTCTAACAATCTTAATCCCATAACATCTAAGTGTCTTCCATTACTAGCTGCCAGTGAAGGCTGGACTCTAATCCTGTGGTTACTGAGGAAAAAGGAAGTTTAGTTGAAGAGATGCCACTCTACAGAAATTAAAGCTACATTTTCTCTAAGAGTATTTAAAATGGAAGGAAAGAAATATGGTACTAAGACTTGCTGTGTAAAAATTGAATATTAAAGGGAATTTGCAACTCGGCAGATGCAGTTCTCAAATTCCACAAACAGGGCTTGCATGATTAGAGGTACCCGCTGCACACATTTTCCAGGTTTTCTTTTAAAATCATCATCTCTGTAGAGTTGTATTTTATGTTGACATCTATTTTTCATCTTCTGGGAAACAGCTTTACTACGAAAAATACATGTAATATAATGAAGGAAACTGTTGTCATTTCTATTCCATTTTGGAAAAGAACTTTTGGTCAAGGAGATTATCAGCCGGGCAGGACAGATACGCAGTGTGTGTAAAATGAGGAGATGAAAGCAACAAATGTTTGGGAACTGGAGAGGTGGCTCTGCACTTAAAAGCACTGGCTGCTCTTAAAGAGGCCCCAGGTTCGAATTCCAGTACCCATATGGTAGCAAAAAATCTCCTGTAACTCTATTTCCAGGGGATCTGATCCCCCTCTTCTGGCCTCCTTGGACATTGCAGGACACCGGTGCACTGACTTGCAGACATAGCACTCATACAAATAAAGTAAAAAGAAAGAAAGTAGAAATGCTCGGACTTTTAAAAATATGATGAAAATGCTGGAGAATCTGCATGACAAACCTCATGCTTTCAAATACTCCCTTCCGGTCTCTTACTTCTTTCACAAAATACATTCTTGTATCCTATTTTTTCATTTTTGCATTCTAGTCACTGAAACTTGACACCCCTTTTGAAAGAAATGAATTCAAAATCACTTAAACACTGAAAGGTAAGTATTAAAACAACCTTACATTATAGCATACTATTAGAAAAAAGAACAGTGGGAAAACTACTTGAAACTCATGTGAGAATTAAATTAGTTGATATGGCATCAAAAGCACAGGTTAAATGCAAAAGAAAGCCTGATGGGATACGTCCAACATAACAATTTCTGCATAGAAAAAGAAACAAAGGTATAAATGGCACCCAAGGGCATTGCAATAAAAATTTGCAAACTCCAAATGTGATAAAGGTTTATTCTTGAAAATATCCAATCTTAAATGTCACTATACATGTGCAAATAGAATAAATGAAAATATGAATTTCTTTTGAAAATATGATTTACACATAACAGGTAAATAAGTACAGATCTTTTAAACTCTACAGTGTACTTGACAATATCATTTAAGATAATCATGCTCTGAGAAGGATCAAAGTTATATCATGCAAAAAAGGAAAATGCATGCCCCTGATTTAGCTGTAGTTCCAAGACTGTTTGACAAAATAATTCTAATTATTTCATTAAAATTTAAATTCACAAGTAGCTACACAAGTTTCCTTTCATTCAGTATAATTACAGTATTTTGAGATTCATCCCATGTTATAAGTGATATGACTGGATCTCTTTATTCATAGTAACACTCTTATTAATGACTTTAGGTGTTTGTTCTACAAATCATTGGTATAACAGTGCCAATGCTACAAAATGTGAGGAAAGTAGATTCTAATGTTGATTTCATGCTGGATAAAATTTCAAAAATATTGATGAAAGCAAATCAGTTATTTACTGACAAACACTTATCGGTAATAACTGTTAGCTTTATGATCTGCTGCACAATGCACTTCAAATGTAAAATGAGAGCAAGACATAGTCAAGTAAATGCCACTGGGAAAATCTTCTAGTCTAATTTCTTTTGACCCTTCTCTTCCTCATCTTCACCATCTTGTTTTTGCATTATTAACTCATGATTTTTTAATACTTTTGGTAAAGGAGTATTAACTAACAGAGGCATAATCCCATCCCTTCCTCACAAACAACTTCTTAAGGATGCCTGGCGTACCGTAGCCCTTGCTGACAATGAAGTCCTTAAAAGCAATTGTTCCATAGAGGTCTTCCAAGATGTCTGGTTGACAGAAGTTTCTACCTTCAATTTCAAGTAAAATCTTGGGCTCAGCCACAGACTCACTATTTTTTCGTGTTTTTGACTGCTTGTCTTTCTGGTTTGATGGCCTGTACTTAATCTTCTCCTTGGTGGGCTTAGGAGGACCATGCCATTGCCGGCCTTTCATCCCAGAGTTTGTTTCCTGTTTGGAGGGTCTAATGTCCTCTGCTTTGCCCAGTGCACTTAAGTGCTTGAGCCCACATGGCCACAGACCAATTTTCTTGTCTAAGGAGTCTTCATGGCTTAGTTGGCATCCATCCTCCATTTCAAGTTGTTCCACCACATCCAATTCCCCAAAAGTTTCATCACATTCACTCAAGTCACCACTTCTACTTTGCATGTGTGTATAGTAAAGAGAGTCAAGCAAATCTTGGTTTTGGTGTGCTCCTTCAGAAAGCCAACTGCCTTGAATTGACCCAGGACCCTTGGGAAGTGCCAGGTTGGATTTTCTCTGAGGGAGTTTCCCACGGGTGCTGTGCTTCTTATTTCCCTCTGATTTTCCCCCAAACGGCCACTTATTATTCAGTTTGTGGTTGTATTTCGGTACTTGCAGCAAAGAGGAGTCTGCAGAACCATCTTCCATGTGAAACGAAGGATCCACCGCGTGCTGACTCTTCGTGGTGGCAGTACTGGACACTGTATGAGAAATCCTGGGGAAAAACGTCCCCTGGATGGTGTGCGACAGTAGCCCTTCACTGAGAGAACAGTCTCTCCCGAAGACTTCGAGCTCTTCCCTCAGAAATTGCTGGCGCTGGCTCTCTAGCAAGGAGGGGAACTTCACTTGTTCCTCCTTGTGCTTCAAGACACACTTGGAAGGCAGCTGAGTTTTGTACCCAGCTGTTTGCCTCTGCTGATTCTCTCGTAGACTCTGGTCCCCCATGGTATCCTGCCTCTGCGGTTAATGCCTCAGCCTCAGTGACTTGTTTCCCGGAGGACACTGGGTTGCTAGGAGACTTGGGATTCTATAGTGATAGGGAGATTAGAGCAGCCAGGCCCCAGTTCCTTCCATTCTCTTCCACAGCACGTGTCCACACGATACCATACTTAAAATTGATCCACTGGCCTTTTAAACCCTCCGGAACCTTACAAAAATTTCAGTTCCTCCAAATATTCTCAGCATGTGGAATTGTTAGTCTTTTTATACGGTTCAGCAAATAATGCTAGTTGAGGTCAGTGATGCAAGCTCTTCTTGGAATGAAGCTTTGTGATATTAAATTAAGCTAAAGGCAAAAATTACAACATTTAAAGCAATATTTATTGGTATTGAGGAAAAGTACTAAAAGAAGCAATGCACGGGATTAACTATAAAACTTTAATCTTTATTCATAAATCCCTTTAAAATATATCGTGTAGGCCAGTCCGTGTCTGGTAGATGGTGTTGGTATGGAAACCAGCACTCCTGACCTGCACCCTGACACTCATACCGCTAGCACAGAAATGATGTAATCATCCAATACCTGTGCTCACTTTCCATGTTGCCTCATGCTTGCAGCAGACCCAGCCAGGCCAACAGCCTGTGTTCCAATGGGGTTTTTCTGCTCTTCTGAGGAACCCTCCCCTTATGGCCCTACCTCATGTCTCCCATCTTCCACCTCTCCTCTGTATTATTAAATTCTTCCTCTTTGTTTTCCAGCCCTTGCTCTGTTTTCCACATGATATATCCTGTTAGTGAATTTTTCTAAAGAGCTTTAATTTTACATACTGATGTTTTAATTCCTATCATCATTTCAACTTCATTTTTACTCAGCAATTATATCCTTTTGTTGAATGAATATTTCATATTTTCAGTTGACTTCCTAATTTCATTCATCTCTTTGTTTTTGTTCGCTTGGCATGTACTCATGTCTTAGTTAATTAAAAAAATTGTTTTTATTGAATTTTTTGTATTGCATATAGAACATCTCAAACAATCTCAATCATCTTTACACCCCTTCCCCCATGTGCACCCTCTCATACCCTCCCCCCACTGGAGCTCATACACTCTGTCATCCCTGAAACTAGGGTAGAAACACTTGTAACTGGGGTTTCTCATGACTGAAACAAAGGAGGGGCTTCTTAGTTCTGGGACTGCCTGGAGACAGATATTCTGCCACACTGGCCATAGAAGCTGTGTGGCAAGAGTCAAGATAAATTCAGCTCTGTGAAGATGTAATGGCCACACACCAAATGGAATGTGTTTCAAGGTCTAGTGGCACCTAGACAACATGCTGCTGAGACCCCTAGTGGTGAAACAGAATATTTGGTGCTGTTTTTCAATCTATACCACATTAGATGAGGAAACTTTTTGATTTGTAATAAATACAATGGCTTTGTGTAAAGATAATAATTATTTAATCTCACAAAGATCATAACTTAGAAAAAGCATTTCAAAACACATGTGAAAACTGTAAGATAGTCACTGTAGCCAATTCTGTCATTGCCCTCCAGATCCTCCTTCCTTCCAGTCAGTGGGATTACAATCCCTATGCCACCATGCAATGATCCCAGTGTGCTTACATTTTTATACAAGGACAGATGGGTACAGTCTCAAATACTGTCATATTCCAGCAAAGAAGAAAATATGTACCTCATCAATTCTAGGTTGAGGGTTGCCTTAATTAGTACAATGATGCTTAAGAAATTCAGCACAGATTCCTTAATATCTCTGAATGATCATATTCACATGAATATTATTTTATGCAATATATGTTGGCAACTATGAAAATAGTCTACCCTCGCCTGTGAACCTGGAGCTGTCATCCCCTTCCATGTGCTGGAGGACCCCTCCTGTCAGTTTGGAACTCGGGGCACCTCTTGAGTTGGAGCTGTAGTCTCCTCTGTGAACCTGGAGCTGAGGTCCACTCCTGTGAAGCTGGAACTATGGTCTGCTGATGTGAGCTGGAGCTGTGGTCCCTTCCCATAGAGCTGGAGAGTTGTCATCCTCTCCTGTGTGCTGGAGCTCTGGTTCCCTCCTCTGAACTGGAGCTGTGATCCCCTCTTGTTAGCTGGAGCTGTGGTTCCTTCTGTTAGCTGAGCTGTGATTCCATCCTGTGAGCTAGAGCTGTGGCCCCCTCCTTCAAACTAGAGTTGTGCTGCCCTCTCATGATCTATCTTGGTCCCCTGCTGTGAACCTGAAACTGTGGTTCCCCTCCTAAGAGCTGTAGTTGTGGTCTCATCCTGTAAGCTGAAGTTCTGATCCCCTCCTGTGAGTCTGGAGCAGTGGTCCCCTCTTTGAAGCTGGAGCTGTGGTCCCCTCCTGTTAGGTGGAGCTTTGGTCTCCTCACAAAATCCTAGAGCTTTGTTCCCCTACCACTGGCCTAGAAGTGAGCATAAGACACTTTAGAAGTGATAATGACAGCAAAAGGGAAACAGATCTAATCAATCTGTCAGATTTATTAAGATTAAAACATAAATGCAGATAGGCTGACTAAACCTTGGTGGATGAACTTGCACTGAGGGACACTAACTTTACATAATAAACCTTAACACCAATGACAGAATGTGTGAACTCCAGGGGGGGGGTTGCTATGTGAGGGTGCCAAAGGGGAAGGAGGAACGGGGTATAGAGATGATTTTCTGTATGAAATACACAAAAATTCAGTAAAAAGTACAATGAGATAAAAACATAAATGCATCTTTGAGTACAGATTTCATCATCATTTTTTAACCTTTCAGTACCAGGTACACAGGAGGAACAAATGGTTTCATAGTAATTTTTTCATAAGTCTTATCAAATTTAGGATTTATCCATGTGAAATTTCATGTGAACACCTTAAAGTACTTACAGTGTGATAGGTAGTTTTCAAGAACATTTACATGCCTTAACTCATATATTAACAGCACAATGAAATCAATGCTTTATTAAATCTATATTATATTTGAGGCAATTAAGGCAGAGTAATTAAAGACTTTACCTAGTGTCATCCAAGTGATTAAGAAATGTGAGACCTAAACCTGAGCAATCTACAGACACGAATTCCATGTGAGACCAGAAGACACTATTTCGCAGCAGTACTCAAGTATGAAATTCTCAAACAGATTTTTTTAAGTAATTAAAAAAAATGATTTGAACACAATTTCTCTCTGAACCAGAATCTAAATAGAATCCTCAGTAAAGTTAAATTTGAAGCACTCAGAATTTAGATGCTGACTGTGTGAAGGGAGAAGTGAATGGGCAAGTTTTTCTATAGGGAATCTTTGCGACAAATTGAGAAGGCCTAAAAACCAACACAGGATCGTGAGCACTGAGTATTGACTACGTAGGACTGAGGCGTGTAAGGAATCAAAGGATTTTCCTGAAAATTGAGTTCATAGCACGCTATTCCTAATTTTTAAGGACGTGTAAAGTACAGTCCTGGGACAATGTGAAAGGTGAACACAGCATAGCTGATAGGACTAATATTATTAAAAACCCAATCAATCTGTTTATTAAGATTAAACCATAAATGTATCTCTGAGCACAGAGCTTCGACGTGATCTGTTTCATATTTCAGGTACCATATGGACAAGGAGAAATAAATGGTTTCACAGCAATTTTCACAGATTTTGCCAAAATTAGGATTTATCTGTGTACAATTTCATGTAAATACACCGTGGCCTGATAGTTAAATATTTATCTGATGGAGCAACAACCAAACAACAAAGAAGAGCTTGGTGAAGCATGTGCATCATTCCTGGGGGATGCTCATTCACTGAGAAAGGATTTCTTCCTATTCATAGTGTTAGGGTTCCAAACAGCAGCAGCTTCCCCCCCTCCCCAACAGGGACCTACAGACTTTGGAGCCTGAAAAAGGGAACTTAGCTGATAAGCACCTCGACCTTTGAAGTCAAGGGAAGCAAACTCTGCTGAGAAGCAGCCTGCCTTTCCTCTGACCTCCAAAGATAAGATAAGCAGATTCTACCTGATAACCAGAGATTTTA